CCCCCCCCCAATTTGAGTGACTTCGGCCACATTGACCAGCCAGATATCGCCTGGTATACACGTCGCAGGGGGTGCATGCACCTTACGCCGGGGGCCAAAAGAGGTAATTGTACCGTGTACTCACGTTCCCATCCCGAAGTCAGGTGCATGTTATAAGGCCACGTATTTAAGGCCGGCTGCCCTGTTTGACGCCGGTGAAATAGCTTGACACAGATAAGGAATACTCAAAGTTATCTCATAGAGGAGTGTCGGGTGCCCCATATCTACAAGGCCAGTGTTTTTTTCCCTGCGGCCTAAAACATGGACCAGCTCTACTGCTGTAGTCTCATCTGTCTCACCAATTCAAGTTACTCTGAATAGTGCCGGGTGCCCTATGTTAGGCCTGTGTTTTCCCTTGGACCTAGAGAGCGGCCTTAAACAGGGGACTACCTCTACTGCAGTAGTCGCGTCTGTATGCCTCACCACGTTGGAAAGGCGGTCTCCCCGCTTCTGCAGCTCCTGGGAGAACCGGTACGCTTGCTCGAAAATCTCGGCCGCGCTCAGCTGCCGCTTGAACCCCATCTGCACGACATTTTCGAGCAAGGGTTCACGGTGCACAACACAGTCGAGTTGGCGGTTTTTCGACATTTGGGGTCAGGGGCGGGGGCGGGGGGGTTCAGGTACTTTCTGTTCAACACTTTTCGAAGTTGTCATGTTTCGCATAAATCGTTGCGAACTTGAAAATGAATCAAGCAATCTATACTCTCAAACCCTCCGTTTGCTGTAGACTTTTGCGGGAGAGAGTCTGAACTCGGAGGGCCACCTCCTCCACGAAATCGGCTACCAGCTGAGCACACGTTAGAGAGAAAATATTGTTTTACCTTTTGGGCCTTTCATTGACCACCCCCACCCCCTTGTTTGTTCTGTATTTCTTGCTTCCGGTTCTGTTCTCCGTTGTCTTGGCCTTGCGAGTTGTTTTTTCTACTTCGTGGTTAAAAGAATGCTTCAAGAAAATACTTTCGGTGCCTTGCCTTCTTTTTCCGTTGCGTTGGATACACAAAAAAAAAAACTGTTCTCGCTTCCTTTGCCGTGAGTGTCCTTGACGACACGACGTCGCGCACCTGACCCGTCGCGCAGAAGACGCAGCCCATGGCGCACCCGGCCTGCGACGAGATGCAGGCCGTCCTCCGGCCGTCCGAGTAGGGCATCAGCACCGACTCGATTATCTGCCCGTCCGACAGACGGTACGCCAGCTTCTTCGTGCCGTCCTTGCTTACCTGCCTGGCAGCCACCTTTCTCGTTGCGGTGTTTCCATTCCATCCCATTCCATCCCATTCCATCCCATTCCATTTAATGTATGGACGATGTACGTACATTTTCGTTTCGCCGCAAGAAGATCAACAGAACAAGCAACACGACACAAAATAAAACGGCAAAAAGGAAATGTGCGCGCGAGGGGCAGGGGGGGGGGTCAACGATGGCTTGGTACTTGGATGTTTGTGTTCATAGATCCCAACCCGAATGCTCGCCACGTTCTGATTCGTGAGGAAACGCACATATTTAAGAGCGTGGGCAGCGGCTGGTCGCAAGCGATCGCGGGGACTGTGCGGGTGGTTGTGTGCGTATTCATGCATGTGTGTTTACCCGAGTGGTTTCTATTAACGAGAATCGACCACGCCATCCAGGCGACCCAGCAGGTAAACGACCAACATCTCATGGCGGGGACAAAATCACAGCAGTGTTCTCACCCGCGGGGTTCCCGCACAGGGGGGTGGCAACCGAGGGAACTGGACTGGCGTGGTACTGCTGCAGCGCGTATGTTTGCGTTCGTACCTCTAGAGCACCCACGGTGGCCACCTTGGCGAGTTTGGCCCGCAGCGTCTTCGGGATGTTGGCCATGTCCTCGAAGGACTCCGCTCCCCCTTCAAAGATCCATTTCAGCACCTGCATAAAAAAAGCATGACCAAAACATGAACGCTCAATATTTTACTCAACAGTTTTACGATATAGCCCCCTCCCCACCCCGTGCGGGCGAGGGTCAACTGCACCGCTGCTGGGTGACGACTGAAACACAAGACAATGAAATAAAAACAAAACGAGTACTTGTACAGTATGTGCGAAAACTTCAAGATGTGGTGTTCGTTCTTGTAGGTACGAGTGGTACATAGAAAACAACACACCTCCATCGAGATCAACACTTGAGCGCCTGGAACGTGCAACGCAAAGACGAGTCTTGTGGCCAGGAATGACAAAAGCTGCTTCCCTCGCAAAGGTAACGACGACAACAGAACCGATTTCACTGTACAAACTCCTGTACACGGCACGTTTTCCCGTATGTTTCATTCAACGCACGTCATATTTTTCGGCGTCGCGGTGTCGCGGCCAGTACACGGTACACCGCCGTGCAGTAGCATGTAGTGGTGGTGTTGTGCCTCCCTCTACATTGAAGTGCTCTCAAATCCAAGAGGGTGGGCTTTGTCCCTCCAGTCTTGTCTGCGTTACTGCCGCACCTGTTTGGCACGAAACTTGGGCTCCCCCATGGCCACGAGGAAGGCTTCAACCTCCGCATTGCTCATCTCCAGCAGATTCACCTTTGTTAACATGTATACATGCCGTTGTGTGGCAGCAGGCAGAAGTTTTGGAGAGCGCGCGTGGCTGTACGGAAACACACGGAGCTCGCCGATACCTAAAGTTGCTTCGGAGAACTCTACACGCTGTTGTTGGAAAATACGTAACGGTAACGCATGCTCCACTACAATATAAAGACCATGGTTGGGAGCACGGTAGGTTGTTGGCTCGATCGAGACATCGATCATAGGGGCACTATGCGTCCCTCTGCCGCTGCAACTGATCATCAGGCGAGCTGTGTCGTTCATGCCCGAGGATGTGTAGCTCCGACCTCCGGTCTTTCATGGACATGTTTCGTGTCCTGGTGATGGATGTATGCATACGACGAACGGCGAGTGCGTGGTACATAAGGCTATCCCGCATCTGCTTCTGGAGGGGAGGCGCAGGCATGCACATCCGCTGTCGTGTTCGATTTTCCAAGCGGCAGTGGCGAGCTCGAGCACCGACCTTGAACGGCGCAGGTCCCTCCTCCTTCTCCTCCTCCTCTCCCTCCGTTGCCACTGCCTCCAAGTCGCCCTCAACCCTGGTTGCCGCTAAACCAACAACAGCAGGCGCAGCAGTAGTAGCCCGCTCCAGCGACGAATAAAAGAAGCGTTGCGACGGTCTTCTCGCAGCTCCCGTCAAGCAGGCAGGCGCGGTAACCACGCTTCTCGAAGGATAGGCCGCTACCCGCGGCCTCCTCCGCTGTACTGCCGCTGTGACATGGCCCCTCTGCCGCTGCGCCCTCGATATCCAAGTTGACGTTGTACTGAACGGCAACACGAAGCCCGGTGTTGCTGTTGCTGCTGCTGTTGATGCTGCTGCTGCCAGTGACTGCCCCCCCTTTCGGTTGCCGCCGACGAGGAGCCGCGCCCGCGAGGCGGTGAAACCAAGTCCCCCCCGCGTGATCAAGCTAGCCGCCGCGGCGGTCGGCAGGGGTGCCATCCCGCCTTCAGATGGGGAGGAGGAGAGGCAGCAAGATGCGGTGGTGGCCAGCCAGAGGCCTCGCATTTGTCTGTGGCTCTTTCGGCAACGTTAAGGGGGAAGGCCACCAGTTTTTCTTGGGAGAATAGATGATGGTTCAATCCCTTGGAGGAAATCGGACCTAGAAAGAGAGTGTGGGTGGTGGAAGACGCCACAGCAGCAGCGGTCGGCACTGCTGACGCGTTGGCAGCAGGAGCAGCGAAAAGTGCGGCGAGATTAAGAGAATGAGCGCATTTCGGGAGTTCGTTTGTTTCGCATTTTTGCGGGAGAATAAAGCGACGGTTTCATCATTTTTTCGTTCTCGACTTCCCCAATTCGCCGCTCAGTTCCAATGCCACGACAGAGTGTTGTTGTTGTTGTTGTTGTTGTTGTTGTTGTCTTCACATCAAAAACCGTTCCGATCTCTCTCTACCCAGTACCTTCGAATGTCCGTGTGTGGCATGTTGTTGTCTTCACATTAAACTCGTGTCAGTTGCTAATCCCAAAAATCTAGCAAAGACGCGGTCCGCGGTCACAAAAATGCTAGAGCCATCAGATCTAATGTTGAGATGATTAAACCGATCTTTCTTTTCCGCCTCACATGACCCTTCAGTGACATCAGCAACATTATGGACAAAAAGATCGTTCACAGCCACGCAACATCCCAGAGACAACGTCAACAGCGAAGCTCGCCGTGACACAGCAGTACTAGGTGTTGTTAATGTATCTCGTCTTGCTCGATGGGCTCAGCCGTGAGCGCGCCGACCAAGCAGCAGGCCAAGGCGCTCAAGGGCCGGCGCTACATACGTGGCATGCTCCCGGAGAAGTACTTCGAAGTGGTTGTGAAGAAGGAGCACGGCGAGTTGTTGGATATACTGGGCTTTACCGAGGAAGAGGCTTTCGAGATATTTGTCCAGGTATCATAGGGCATGACATTGACCGTACGGCACAGGAGGCGACGAATCACAAGTATTCGAAGAGAGTTTTGAGATATACTCCAACGTTAGAGAATGTTCAAGAGAAAAGGAGCAGCGAGCTTGTAAGCTGCATATGGTGAACAGAGGAGATATCATACGTACTAGTCTACGCGAAATCTCACACGGATTATGGATGTCACCTATGGCAAACTGTCTCTAGACGCAATTATGTATCGGTACAGCAACATGGTACCAACACCGCCACAGACAGAACCATCTACGGCAATATTTCGGGCAAGGCAATGCAATCCCCCGGTGTATCAGGGCACCCCTCTGCACCATTCGCAGTCTTGGTATATTGCCGGCGACCGTGCAACACTTTTCTGGGTGTGTGTTTGATTTGTGGGGTACGAGAATAGCATATTAGCCTTTCCCCGTGACGCCCCCTCTCGGGGTCCCAGGTCATGGCCTTTAGAAACGATGTCAATGGTGTTTTAGCTCAACTAGATTGACATCTTTTCATTGGTCAGCCGATTAGCGCGGTCGGTAATACCCATTGAGACACTCACACAGCCTTTCCACGGATGGTTCCTACAAGCGACTAACATGGCAGGGTCCCGACAACCGACGATGCGTGATACTCGTACTTCGTGCACCCCCCACCCCCCCACCCCCCCGTCAACCTCTCGTTTTCGATTGGCCCGCCACCCGCACCGGTAGTTCATCTCCATGGATGACGACAATTCTGGAGAGGTGAGAACGAAAGACCTGTTTAACGTGCAAACAAGCATGCATTCCGGTATGGTACTTGAACAACACCGGGGAGAAGGGATAGGTTGTTGAGAAATCCTACACGCATGTGTATCTATGTTATTGTTCTGGACGCTGGGTCTTGCGATGCACACCCAGGCGTTCCAAGTGGCTCCATCATTTCTCGCAAGGGAAGAGAATCCTGTCCTTGGATGGTAGATTGAGCTCTAACGAATCCCGTAGAAATACGAAGTTTTTCAAGGGCACGGTCAGTTTTCCAACTCCAGAACCAAAGACAGCGTGCTCTCCGAGTACTGAAGAAAAATTGGCCGTGTTTCACATACAATCTGCGCAAGATGCAACATACCGTTGTTCTTGCAATTGGTCTGGGGGAAACGGGTGGTAAAGCAACGAGACTTTGTGCGCATTCCCTCAGAGTTTCGCATCCGGCAACTAGGTCGGATGGGTAACAACTGAGTCCAACATCTCAAGACGGAGAGAGCGAACGGGGGGTGGGATCAGTGGAAGGTAGGAACAGAAATGGAAACCCACGAGCGAGCGTGTTCGCAGCGCCAACCTCGAGCCTCCGTTAAAGGTGTCGGTGGACGAGTTCCACGGGCACTTGGACTCGCAGGCGACCAAGTTCAGCGAGAGGGTGTTCTCCATCCTCGACCAGGACATGAGCGGCATGCTGGACCTGAGGGAGTTCATCATTGGCGTCTGGAACTACTGCACGTACGACACCACTCTGGTGGCCAAGGTGCGCTACGGCGGGGCGAGTCCGATCCTCCTCCACCTCGTGCCGTCGGCTTCATGGGCAAGACAGACGTTGTTTTTTGCCTCGCGTGCTATCGTACCCGCGCATGTCTCCTCTTCGTAGGGCCGCGAAACACGTTATTTTCCGCATCGTTTTCTGTCTGACTGCTAGCTAGCATAATTTCCGCCTTGCTTGGTGTTGTTGCTGCTGCTGTGCCACTGCTGCTGTGGAGGCTCCTCGACTCCTTACCCCACCCCAACGACGACCCTACCCTACCCGCTGTCTCCGGCCTGTCTCGCTACCCCTTGCTCGATGCCGCCGCCCAAGGTTAACCCCCAAACTTGGCCGCAAAAACACATTTCCCCGCGCGTGCTTGAAGCCAGCCGGGCTGAAATGAGCATGCCCATAACCTCATCGTACCTTCCTTCATCCCAAACTGCCAGCCCTCCAAAACACTTCAACACCCATCTCCCGTCGTCGAACACTCTCGGGGACCAACACTCTTGCCACGCATGTGCGTAGCTCTTGTTCGGCATCTTCGACGTCGACAAGAGGGGTAGGGTCACCATGGCGGAGCTGGACGCGATGGTGAGGATGCTGTATCGGTCACCAGACGCCGATCCCGACCTGTTGAAGGCGCTGGCGGTCAACGGCAGCGGCGACGAAGATGCCCTTACCTTCGACGAGTTCTTGCAGGTACTAGGCGGCCCAGACTATTCGTCCCTTTTTATCGCGGTTTGACAAGCCGCTTTGTTGTCCCGTATCAACAGGGTTTTGTCCCGTTTCGCGTGGTTTGATATGCAGCTTTTAGGCCCGTTTGTTTCACGTGTGAGATAACGGTGCGTCGGTGGTCGGACTTTGGAGGCATTCGCTTGGCCATCGGTCCCCACCCCATCACATGACAGTTTGTGTGGCTGATGACGATACATTTGGCACGTTGGTCGCTGTGTGATCGATGAATCGATGGGTGAAAATGCGGCCCCGCACAGCGAGCGGTTGACGGTCAGACGCCAGACGTGACGACGACAGCAGAGAAACTAGTAGACGGAGCAAAAAAACAACCAGGCATCTAGTAGATCATCAGCATTCCCGCTGCTGCTGACGGCGACGCGTACGATCTCATCTCACGGCATTCACCGCACAACACTCTCCCGGTTGCCAATCGGCACGTGTGATGACCGAAACTTGGACGGAACGGCGCACGCCGCCGCCGCCGACAACTAGAGAAGGTGGTGCAGGACAACTACGAGGTGGCGCAGCCGGCGTTCGAACTGCAGAAGGCGATCCGCCGCAAGGTGTTGGGTGTCAAGTACTGGGAGAAAATGACCAAGCAGAGGACCAAGATGTTCGCTAACTATGACCAGGTGGTGGGGGGGATCTGATGCAATTCGTTAGGGGGGGGTGGGGGGGGGTGTCGCACGGTATATGTCTTGGTTTATGTCTATTTCGCCTCGCTCTACTCGGCTCGAACTTCTCTCAACCAACAAAACAAATCCCCCCACCCTCTCTACCCCCCCTGAGGCGGTGTTTTGCCATCGGGGTTGGGTTTTCGTCGCTTGGCAACGACGTTGTAAAACAAGC